CGTGTCATATTCGTTTGCATATGTTCGCACCTCAGCAACTGCCACTTCAACGACGTAGTCGTCAGCAATGTGACACATGTCACATTCCCAACTTCCGAAATAGCTTGAACGGCTCCTTTGGCGCTGCTGAGCCCTACTGGCTGATCTCCAGAGTTAAAATCGTTCCCTAGTCCCGTCAACAAGTCCACTTTGGTGTAATCTTGCTTCTTCGTGTAGACGGCCGGTGGTAAAGCCCCTGCCTTGTCTTTGGCAGTTTCCTCCCGAACTGTCCTTTGCCTCAACGGAAGATACCTCGCCGCAAATTCTTTCACAGCACTTTCAGTCTCGGGGTTGATCTTTTCTGAAGGTAGGGGTGGCACAAAGTTCACATTTGCAAACTCCGTGCTGGTGTGAGGGACAGGATAGTAGGATTTTTCATGAGTAAAATACCTGGCTGCCCATTTTCTTACTCTCTTCAACGACTCCTCGCTAATTATTCCAAAGTCTTGGAAATACTGCAATGCGGTAAAGGTCTCGTGCTTGAAATGGGAAACTGCGTTTAGATTTTCCACAACTGTTGTGAGAAATGTGCAAATCAATGTCTTCGAGAAAACCGTTATCAATTGAAGCTATGCTGTGCAGGCGGCGCATTCTTCCTTCAAGTAAGACTTGAGTTTTATTAGACACAGTTCCTTCAGGGCCGTTGATTGCTTTGGTTTCCCTTACACTGTACCGTTGTTTCACCTCAGAAACGGTCTTTGTGATGTTGTCACATACGATACTTTGTCTACGGCATCTTGAAGAGACGTGTGTGCTTTTCCTATGCTTTGGGCTTTGATACCAAAACTGTTATAGATACTTCCAAGGACTTTTATGAACGACACAATACCACTGAGTCTCGATGCTAGTTTTATGCAACCTGTAGCAACATCCGATACGAATAGAGTCTTCTCCATAGAACAGATGCCATGAACTTGCGTAAAAGAACATGTTTCATCCGTTCCATCACTTGCTCCTTCCTGACCAGAGCACATCAAGGTTTTAACGTTTTTCTCAGAAGGACGGAAGAACTTTACCTTTCGATCTCCTGAGTCAGTGAACGTTATCCCGTCTTCAAATTCACAAAGTCTTCTGATTTCTTTACAAGACTCCGAGTTGTTCTGTAGAAGTAGGTCAACTTCTAAGCTTAAAGGGTTGTAAACGTAAAGGCCACCGTCTAGACCGACTGCATGCTGTAAAGTAAGCTCTTTGTGTGAGAACTTCCATAAATATGACATTCGAAATGCCAGTCGGGTAGGTAACGAGTTTGAACCGGCAAAGCCAACTCCACTGTAATGTAACATTACTTGAATAATTCCTTTCTGAGGATCGTCTGCACACAACAGAATGTTTTCACTTGCAGCACAGATAGAAGTTGGCTTTTCTAATGGAGGGCGAGCCTGGACAAACAATCGCAAGAAGTGCACCTCATCGAGTACAGGTCTTGAAAATGTATTCAACGTTAAAAAAATCCCAGCAGGCAAACAACATTAACCTTTCGGTGAACTGCGTAATTGAACCAAGTACTTTTTCTAATGGACCACAAAATTCGTCACAAGTGTAGTAATCCGCTTAATTTTTGACATTAAGCTCATTTCGACTTACTAAAGCAATTGGTATCAATCATATTAAAATACGTATTTGACAACTTGATAATCTTGTTAGAACATCATAAGAAGTTGTACCTTTAAAGAAGCTACGAGTAAAATCTCTAAGGCCTTTTCACTGTTTCTAGCGGTAAATTTATACTAACCGTGGAAGATTTGCACGTCTTAGTTACTTGCTTGATTATTTTTTGACGCTGTTGTGTTAAGCATCCATCTGAAGTTTGTGTGTATGAGTGCTCAGGGTGCAAAGAGTGAAAACGGTACGAAAACCTCATAATTTCGATCCCTCCACCCCTCCCATCCCAACCCTCTACAAAAATGAGTAGTTTCTGGACCATATTGACTTGAAATTTTACACTTGATAATTCCTAAATTGACTGATGCCTCACACAAGAGAAAATTAAATCATAACTGTGCACCACTGAGGCCTTGCATTAATAAAAAGGCTATTCTGGTATGTTTCACTAATTACTCTAGGTCAAAAAAGATGGAAAAATTGAATTATTATTATTATTATTATTAACATTGTTATCATTATTTTTATTGTGTTACACACTCTTAAACAAATTTGAAACTTTACCACTCCCCTTCCCCAAAGCAGCTACAAGTATACAATGGGCCTTGTTAAAAGTCCTCACTGTTTAATGCCTCAAGGCTTGCTGGTTTGGCAGTCAGTGGAAAAGTAATAAAAGAAATACCTTCAGTTACATTTAAATGATTATAATTAAGATTTAAATATCAATTCTAACTGAGCAATGACCCAGGATATGGAAAACAAGACATTGATTGCATTATATTAGGTGGCTTGATCCAAATGAGCCAAGCAAGCTTTCTTTTTTGTTTGGTACATAATCATAAAAAAGCCCCATATTCTGTAATTGTAAGTCATAAAGTGAAATTCAGGGCTGGGTTGTTCAAAGCTGGGTTAAGATAACCCAGGGTTAGGGTAAAATCTGATTTCAGATCTGATAGCTTTAAAAGAAAATTTGGTCAAATTCTTATTGTCTAAAATATGACTCTTTGATGCTCTAAAAAGAACACAGGACATTAACCCAAAAAGGCTTTTTGAGTAAAGGAATAAAGAAACCCAGATTAAAGTTTTAACCTTGGGTTAGTGCTAATCAGCTTTTGAATAACTGGGCCCAGTAATCTAACTATATACAATAGACCTAACTGCAGCTTTCAACACCACCTTGATGGGTTGGTGGGCAGGCATGACCTTACAGTATCTGTATGAGAATCCAATATCAAATAATCTTTGTGAATTATATTAGATGGCTTGATGCAAATGAGCCAAGAAAGTAATTTTTTTTGTTTGGTACACAATCATAAAAAAACCCCATATTCTGTAGTTATAAGTCATGGAGTGAAATTCAGTACTTTAACTATATTCAGTAGACCTTACTGCAGTTTTCAACACCACCTTGATGGGTTGGTGGGCAGGTATGACCTTGCAGTATTTGTAAAAGAATTTAATGTCAAATAATTTTTGTGAAAATTCTGTTATGATAAAAATATCAGTAATATGGCAAACGTAAGCAACAGTTGTACACGTTACAGGTAAAGGATTCTTCTGTAAAAAAATTTTCTTCTTGCACACTAAAATTTCCTGAAAAAAGTAACAGACAATGCATGGAAAATCTATTACAAGCAACAGGGCAAATTCAAGGACAGGTACAGCCATAGCCACCATGAAGTAAGCATCCCTACCACTCCCAAAATGCATTATCAGTTGCCTCAGATGTCCAAACAGTCCAGGGAACAATTTAAACATTAGCTCAGTTTTTTTTAATCAGACTAATTGTTGTTCAGAGTGCATTATTTCATGACAACGTACTTCAACAAGTTAGGTCTACACATAGTATATACCACAAAAGCAAATGATTTCTGGTGTTATCGCTAATTGAGATATTAGATCAAGAAAGTATAAGGTTATTAATAAAGAGTTAAATTTTAGCTGCAAGCTTTTCGAGTTTTTAATTTGACAATTCACAGTACGTTGTAAAATTACACAGCAAAACACTAAATTTAGGTTGTAAAACACTAAAATACTTACTTACTTACCTTTCGGTCTCAAAACGTTTTTCTCTTTGCTGCTTTAAACATTTGAGCTTGTGTTTACTGACGAAAAAGGTCACGCAAGCAAGAAAAGGCTTGGGCACAAATTCAGAAGGCTTGGCTACTGAGTTGAGCCTGGTTTCTAAGCTTCCGCCATACTGTTCAAAATTTTCCGTCACTGGGAACGAGACGTCTGGAGACCTGGAACATAGTTGCAGTGTTGTGGTTACCAGTCTCTCATCGCTATTCAAAAGTGACGGTTACAAAATGGCGGACGGAGTGTTTGAATAACACAATAAGTTTGTAAGAAGAGTTTTCCAGGTGTAGGTTTTAAAATTCAGTGGACATTATTGGACACGCTGCCCAAGCTCTCGCCATTTCAACTGTTTTTTGCGTTTTTTTATGAACTAAAATGCAATGGCGTCTTCGATTACGGCTGATTTACCGTCTCCAACCTCACCTGATCCATTCACTTCGGCAGCAGAGACAGCAGAGTCCTGTTCTGACGATGAGGAGAAAAAGGATTGTCAAGCCGGAAAGGATAGTTGCACAGTTTACTTACATCGGCTTAGCTCCGATCTCCCTGATATTCCAGACATACCTTCCCCTTTGATGCGACCGCCAAAATCCGGAGCGAAATCTACGACGACAGAAACGAATGCTCATTTGCCTTTGTCAGCTGCTCCTGCTCAGAGAAATGGTACTGGTAAGTGAAACGGATGGGGCTCCATTTACTTGCAAGGTACATCAGAAGATTAACTGTACGGCCTCAAAGATTTGCGATCAGGAGTTTTCTTCTTCCGTTTTATTTAATTGCGTAACTTTTTACTACTTACACATGTAAATAGTGTTCAGAAGCGAAGATCGCTGTCATATTACTATTTCTTAATCAGCATTGCACATAGATGATTTTCATATATCCACATTCATTTAGTTGGTAGAGCGCTTCACTGATAAAGGTCATGGGTTCAAATCCCGTTCAGAATTTTTTTCATTAGAGTTCATTACTGCAAAGACCGCTTTCATTTTTAAGAGATATTTTGTTGAAGGGATTGGAGTCGGCATAATTATCTCAGGCTGTTTCAAACCCAGCGAGCCATTTCTGTTAGCATTTTCCTAACCCTTTACACCCTAACATCAGTATGCATATTCTCCATACTGCTCTCTATGCTCTTCTTGAGGTGCTGACAAGAATTTGAATGTGCAGATTTTTACAGTCATTTTAAAAGTATCTGTGATTTCTGCTTCATAATCACTGTATTGAAGATTGAAGAAGCCTGCATATGCAATTTTGTATTTTTATTGTCATCAGATACTCAAAGAACACCCAATCCAGGTGGAGCTGAAAGTAGCAGGCCACAGGATGGTGTTGATAGTATGATCAGAAACCAAGTTGGAAGACAAGTTGACAGACTTTTTGTAGGTTCATGATTCTTTTTAAACCCTTTGCATCCAAACATCAGTATGCATATTTTTCATGATGTTCTCTATACATTTCTTGACACAGAGAATTTGTCTGAAAACCAAGAGCTTTTTGGTTAGGGATCATTTTGTTTACTCGCAATACTCCTCTGTTTGATTCAGAGGTAATATTTTGATTGTAAGGAGGAGTTACTTGATACATGTAGTCACTCATGAGGGTCAAGTTGTCTGAAACCTTGAAGTTACAGCTGATTGTGTAGTCTGATCATCAGTGTAAGATAATCTTAAAAAGGGGTTTTGCTAATAAATCAGGGGCTGATTTTTTGTCATGCGAATTACTTAGTTGAAAACCTGTGATATTTGGAGAACTAGAAGAACTGTTTGTGGTGGTGGTTGAGGTCTAACTGCCTTTTGACCTTCCTGCCACTCAGAAGTTTATTTTTCTCCCCCAACCAACCCCTGTGATGCTAAAATGTATCAGTACAGGACCAGCAATGTTGGCCAACAGTTTAATAAAATTTTTGTCTACAGTCAAGTGAAATGAATGATCTTCATGGACACTTAATATCTAAGGCTAGTGAGGTTGATCAACTTAGAGTGGATCTTGCAAAGATGGAGGTATTTTTATAATTTTTTTTTTAGTTGCAGAAATAAGGTTGCTAGTCCAGTGAATCCTCTGTGATGCTTCATTACCTTTTTAACCCATAAACCCATAAACTGTACCTATATGTAACATGTTTAGTGGGCAAAAACTGTAGGCAAAATGATTCTAGTTGTGAGATGCATGTGTTTTAGCTTATGACACATCCTTATTCAACTGATATCATTATTGAATTGTATAGCACTGAATAGGCATACCTCTTACAAACCAAGTTTGAGGTCCATGCAGTAAGTTATGGACCAATTTTTTTATGCTGGAATTTATGGCCCTAGCACAAAGTGTGCAGGAAATAAATCCAAGCAGAAAACATAAGGTTCCTCAACTTACAGAACAGACTGAGAAAGCAACTGGTTAGTAAAATATTTCATACATTTCTTGCTTCAAAGGGGGAAGATTCTGATTAAAACAAATTTTTGAATTTTTTAGGCTGCATTTTAGTACTGTAAAATACAGCCCTCTAAATGAACCAATGTTATGGCACACTCTGATTTGCAACACTGTTGAAATTCCTAAATTATTTTTGAATACTTCATGATCATGACTTTCTTTTGCATGCATCAATCATTCATAAGTTTAATAAATTTAATAATCTTATGACTCCATTTACAGCAAAGAGAAAGAGAGATTTTGTCTAGAATTTCACGTCCAACAAATGTGTCAGCAACCCCTCTACCTACTACTCATTAGTAAGTACTACAACCTTTAAAGCAAGAGTTTACTGATATAAAAATATGTCAATTGACAGAATTAAAGACTCAGAGCTAGAGGTCATGTGCTCCATACCATTCTTTCTACATTTCCTGTGGTAGAAGGATAATTTTTTCGACTAACAGGAGCTTTGTGAATTTGTCATCTTTCTCTATTTTTCGTCATGATCTCTATATTTGATTCAAAGGTGATATTGTATGAATAAATTAGAAGCCAGTCACTCTCAGAAGTTAAAGGGTTTAAGTAGATGTAATTGTCCTGCTTTAAAACCCTTTAACTCCCAGATTAAATTTGTCATTCTCCTTACTGTCAACCATACAATGCTTATAATGTTAGGTCAGAGAATTTAGTGTTGGATCAACTAATTATCCCCAAATTGATATTTTTTTTCATTCTCGTCACTTTTCTGGTTGATATTTTATTGATATTGTAAGGAGAAATTCTGGCTTGGTCACTCATGGGAGTTAATCTAATAAAGAAATGTTTTTAATCAATTGATGAATTGTTATTTCTCATCTAACAGCATATTTTTTTTTTCATAGTTCCAGCATCAGTTCTACTTACGGTGCACCCTTAAGAACAGGAGAGCTAGGTGGCAGTACAGTAGGGTATCCTTCAGGTATTCCAAACATAGGAGCAGAGTTTGGTATCAGACAATCAAGTGCTCAGATCGATGAATTGAAAAAGAAGCTAAAAATGGTAATTACTCCCATTTGAATGCTGCAATTAAAGCCACTTCCTTTGATTAAATATTGAATCTTTTAAACCTTTGAAAAAAATAAAAGTTACATGTAGATTTGTTGTTATTCATTTCCGCAATCGAAAGGCTATGTGTAGTTTGCATCGCAGCACAAAAGATACCTCTAACCCTAAGGCTTGCCAAAACAGTTTCCATGTACATGTGTAGGTTTTGTACCAAGGGGGTGAGTGAAAGTACAAAAATTAGGAAGGGATGGGGTGAGGGAGTGAATATCAAAAAGTCAGGAGAAAATGAATTCTGATCATAGGGTGTAAAAGCTTGAAAGAACTATTTTCAACTTACTCCTTATTTGAAATTCATATTTCTCTTTTCTACTATCTATTACTCCAAGCTTCTACAGGTCCAGAGTTCCTACAGGTTTGAAAATCCTAGAATTTTATTTCAACATTTTTCAGGATCTTTTAGTCCTGGAAAAAGACTACAGGTCCTGGAAAGTCCTGGAAATCTGCTAACAGTTACTCAGTAAAGTTTCAAAATTTACATGATAGGAAATATGTGTAGACTGTGAGGAGAATTGATCTTGAAATTTTTGGAATAGAGGGCTTTAAGGTGAAATCTGAGCCCTGGAAAAGTCCTTGAAATTTGTTTCTGAAAAAGGGTACAAAACCTGTTCTTACTATTTGTGCTTTCAGTGTAACTTTCAAATAATTGTTTTTTACAAAAGGAGTAGCAATGTTGGTTGGGTTAGTCTAGACCTGTATAGCTGAATCTGTGCCATATTACTTATGGGATTTTATTTGCCCTTTGTTTTTTTTTGTACAGACCACAGAGCTTTGCGCAAAACAAGATACATATTACAGAGAGGTGATTGTTGAACTTGAAAATCGACTGAAGGAAACTATTGCAGGAAGGGATCATGTGTTAGCACTTAGGTAAGTTCATGTACATGAACAGTGTAGGTTGTCGCTCAGAATTTGCAATTTAGCTATGTTCTCGGATCAATGAAAGTTAGATCAACTTTAGTGTAACTTTATTTACATCTGATAGTACACAACTCTTACTGAAGGAGTTCTCGGCCGTAAGTTACAGACTTGTCTAATTTTTTTTCTTTTTAACTGAGCAAAAAAAAAGTTCCATTACTTTCAGTACGAACCGAGAAAACGACGTTAATAAGATATTGATTATCATAACTTTGGATTCAAATTGTGAGGAAATAATCAATTTAAACCAACTTTTGAATTTAGTGGGCCATGCAGGAAAATAAAGCGCACGAAATCGACCAATCATAGCGAATGAGCGATATGATAAATGCCGATGTTTGTGTATATGCTAAAACAGAAGATAGCGTCGAAGGCCGACGATATAACCCAATTGATTTTCCCCAATTTTCAAACCTTACGTCCACTTCGAAAAGTCTTCGTATAAATTTGATTCAGAGTTTTAGATAGCTTTTACAGAAGAAGGAAGACATGTGTTTGTTCATAAAGTCGCACCAGGGAACACTTAAAAGAAAACATCCCACGCAGCAAACAGTAAGCTGTTCGTAGCCATGTTTACACGCGTTGCCAAATATTTGGAGGATAATAAATACAATGGCCTCTATTTTCGTGAACATTTTTTCATCTGTTCCTCGCGTTACAAAATCGCATTTGGAACAGATAAGGATGATAAACTTCGGTAAATGGTTGTTGGCTGTAATTGTATTTAAGTACATAAAGTTCCTCTAACCTTGAAAAGGAATGTTATGGAGCTATGCACGCGTATTTATTGTTTTAGACTTAATTGTTTTAGACAACTTTTTGTCTCCCTCCAAGATAGCGTATTTCAATGGGATGCAAAATTCATATGTTTAAACTGCAATTGAAGACTTACTCAAATGTCTTTCATGTCAATACTCACTGAGCCTCGTACCCTTGTACATAAAGATTGTGGTTTGGTGAAAGTGAGCTGAAAATCTTCACATCTACACTGTAGAGCAGTTTTTAATTGAACGTCAAAAAGCAAAAAAAAAAAAACGCGAGTGACTATCTGCGATTGTTTTTAGTTGTACGTCTGATTGGCTGAGAGGATGGCACAGGTTTTCTTTCATAGATTAGTTAGGAAAACTAAAGCAATCCCAGATTACGTTCGACACTCAACTGAAAATTGCCTTGTACTTGTAATTCTTGTGTCTTCTGTCATTACAGGGAAAGTGAGGCTTCGGGTCAGTTGCAGTTGATTCACCAGTTGGAGGCGGGACTGAGGAAACAACAGCAGGCTATTGATGCAAAGGATGAGGTACATATTAAGTGTCTTTTTAGTTTCTGTCAAAAAAATCTCATTGGATTTTGTTATTTTATCTCATGTCCCCTCGTGCGTAAACACAATTTTACGAGGCACTCGCACCAAGAGGGCCCGCTGAACTTTGAGAACAAATGAAGTTGTCCTTGATTGTTTTTTACCTTGAATGGAAGTTTGATGGACATGCTTAAAATACCTTCGTTTTCTCCGAAACATACATGGTCTAGTAACGGAGAAACTTGTTCTCATAAGGAGCAAACATGATATGTTTGGTGGCCAGACATCTGAACTTTCTTCTAAAAAAAACTGGATACTGCGAGCTCCCCCCCCCCCCCCAAAGAAAATTCAATTTTTTTAAATAAAATAAATATTCCTAATTTTTTAAAGGTTGACTGGCGTAATATCCTACGCGGGATTTTTGGGAGAACACGAGAAAAATTTATATTTATCACGAGTTGAAAGCGGTTTATTGCTTAACGCTTTCACTCCCAAGATCTTAGTAGTTCTCCTTATTGTCTGCCATACAGTTCTTGTGATATTAGTTTGGAGAATTTGGTATTGGATCAACTTATAATCCCCAAATTGATATTTTTCTTTATTCTCATCACTTGTCTGCTTGATGTTGTATTGATATTGTAAGGAGAAATTCTGTCTTGGTCACTCATGGGAGTTAAGGGATTGAACAACCGTTCAGCAAATTTTCGCGCCAAAGTTTGAAATTCAACGGAGTCGATAAGATGTTTTCGAAAAAAATAATTTTGCGGTTAAGACAGTTTGGTATCTGTTTGTGTCCTAAAGCGTTTTGCGCCCAAAAAATACCAAGATCAACAATATAGTTACGTTGCTCGAGAACAACTGTATTAAACTTGCTTCGTTATATTTCAGACTTTAACTAAGATGGAATCTGATAAAAGACAGCTTGAAGTCGAGCTGGCAGAGCATAAAGTTTTCTTGGACAAAGTGAGACGAATATCACTGGAAGAAGAAAAGAAGAGATTCCGCTCAGGACTAGTTACCAGTGCATTGGAGAACAACGTGGCTATCGGCCAGATCGGGGATGCTTTAGTAGAAATCCTTCAAAAGTGTCTCTTTGATGATGATAACGAGAAGAAAACGCTGCAGTCAAAGTTAGAAAGGGTAAGGGAGATGGCACGCTCATATTTTACGCAACATTATGCTACAGCAGTGGCGAATCAAGGCGCTCCTTATTTTGGGTTAAAAAATAACTAAAAATCGCAGAAGGATGAAAAGCCGGCGAAGCAAACGACAAAAAACAGCTCCCCCCTCCTTAGCTCAAGGTCTAGATCCGCCATTGTACTGTATGATTATTGACCTACCATGGTTTGTTTTAACGCCAAAGAAAATTACTCAATTGTATTAAACAATGTTAGTGAAAATTAATCGCTGAATCAACGCCAATATCTGGGTAACTGTGCATCTACCCAACCCCCCCTCCTTCAACCTAACAACTGTTGACTGATATCAAGGCGCATTTAAGGTTTATTATGGATTGGAGGCATGGTACATGTACATCTAGGTACGAAGTTAAGATACTGACATTGTTCTAATGGGCCCGCTTTTTGTAAGTTGAGAGTCCACCACGTACATGTTGTAAACTACAATTAACTGCCTAGAAATGCATGCTGTTCTTCACGTGCTTAATGCCGTCTGATGTTGTTCTTTAGCATAATTATTCCACTCAATCTCAATAATCTTCCCTTAGATGGCAGAAAGTGATTTTCTGATAATGTTTGTGACTGACAAACCTTGTAATCGCTTAATAAAAGGACAAGACAAAAGAACACACGATTGTCTTAGTGAGTGGGTTACCTCATACGAAAACTTGAATTGTCTTTATATCTCAAAGATCAACTGCAATTATCAATTTGGGTTCGTGATCTTTTGTGCGCTAAAAAATCGCGGTATCTCGCTCAATCTCGTTCAATAAGTATGTAATGTTTGTGTGCACTGTACATTCTGTAGGTCGAGACAGATCTGAGAAGCAGCAAAGAACGTATTGATGCCACACAAGATGAACTGCAAAGGGATTACAAAGCCAGGTGAGAAAGTACGGCCAGCGATTTCAGTTTAAATTTCCTGCAGATTTTTCAAACTTCCGAGTGCTCTTTCTTCATGTGGTGTTTTTGTAAGGTAGGTATCCGTTGTTGAAACGGGATGCCATTTTGTTTTTCTTCGCCTGCTTCGTAATTTCCTCTTTGCTAGTATCAAAAGCGCTATTCACTTGTATGAACTATACTGATATACAGTTTGTTAGCCCGAGCTTATACGGTGTTAAGAGCGAAAACAACCCACACAAATGTAATGATTTCAAATAAGAGTAATACCTCTTTTTTAGGCTATCGAAGCTGGAAGAGGAACATAAGCAGGCGTTAGATTCCTCAGCCAATAAAGCAGCCCAGTTAAGGAGAGAGCTGGACAGTTTACATGAAGAAACAGATAAACTCAGGTGAGTAACTCTAGTACCTGTTCTACTTGCGAAAGCCGGGTTCTTTACATGTGGGTGGTGTTAATACACGTAGGTCTATGCTCAATCTGAGTTCTTATGCTTAATTTTACAGAGGGCAACATCAAATAGAAGTTTCTGCACTGGATGACAAAATGAAATGCCTTCATCTTGAGCTGGAAAAGACTAAAAAATCAAGTCACGAAACCTCACTGCAATTAGAAACAAAGGTATGTATGTTATTAATATCAATACTTTCAACTGTTGTGTACTTTTTGAACCTATCTTGGATAAGAGTAATCTCCAAACATCATGTAGTTCATGAATACGAGACTTGTGCAACCGGGGGTCGTAATGTTTTTATATGCATGAAAATGACTGAATTTTTATCAGATTATGATAAAACTTCAGCATTAAATTACTGGCATAAGTCAACAAACTGCGATGCGCTCTAACTTCGGCACGAACGGGAGGTCGAGCCGAATGATTGCGTGGTGTGAGGGGTTTTGAATGATTTGACTCACTCCTTGAACCCTTTGTAAAATCAATAACTGGAAATGAGCCTGAGTAACGTTTCAAAATTAAGCGGAGGTCCCCGCCGTGGAATTGTCGTTGTTTCACAGTACTGTTACCTTTAATACAAAGTATTTCAAACCTCAAAACTTTCGAGAAAAGAGCTTTGTTCTTGTTCGTAAAAGTGGATTATTTTCATCCCCTTAGAACAAAGAATTGGAATCCACTGTTCGGGAATTGACAGCTGAACTTCAAGTTGTGAAAGAAGAGAAACAGAACTTACTGGAGCGTGTTTCGCAAGAGCAAGCAAATGTTATTTCTGTGAACGAGAAGCTTAGAGCTGCAGAGAAACTTCGACAAGAAACAGAAGCGAAGAACGAAGGTCTCAGCAAAGAATTAGCGGTTCTTCGGGAAACGTGCCGTGAAGAAGCCAATAGTTTAAGAACTGATATAAGTGAAAAAGATAAACTAATGAAAGACATTCGCGAAGAGAGTGCTAAACTTCGAGAAAGTGAAGTCGAAAGAGCAATTAATCAAGAAAGAGAGAAGGCGAACGCTCGCCTGGATGGTATATTAAACGAGCTTACGAAATCCAATCAGGGTATTTCCACCTTGACAGCTGATTTAGAAGGGAAAAAATTAGATTTATCGAAGCAGCGAGAAGACAATATTAAATTGAAAGATGATCTAGATTTGAAAACTAAGGAAATGAACCTTATGAGAGAGGAAAAAATTCGTTTAGCTGCGGAACTTGAAAAAAGACACGACGAAAATGATAATCTGCGTAGAGAAGTTGAAGAATTGGGTAGAACTTTAGAGGTAAAATCAAAGGATCTCTCCGAAGCGGAGAACTGTGTTAGTAAACTTCAAACTCAACTCAAGGAAAGAGAGAGGACCATAGAGAATTTTCAAGTGCAAGGAACAAACCTTGCTGAAATTATTGAAAGAAACAGTCAAACGGGTGACTCGCTACAACGTGAGAGGGAGCAACTGATTCGAACGCTGGAGGACAGAATTAGCGAGGTGGAAGAAATGAAGAGTCATCGCGAAATCTTAGCAAAAAAATTGAGGTCAAAGGACAAACGTGTCAAGGAACTGGAAGAGGAAAGGAACTCTTTAACAAATAGTTTGAATATTAAGCAAGAGGAGTTAAACGCTCTAATGGAGGACCGAAGTAACATCATGGCGGAGTTGAAATTGCGGCAAATTGAAGTGACAAAGTTGAAAGAGGAAAACAGTTCATTGAGTTCACTGATCGAAGGACAACATGGAGAGCGCGAGAAGGAGATCACCAAATTGTTATCTCGATTAAAAGGTGACGATAGTAGCTTTAACCCTTTATACCTTGATTTTAGTACAAGATCCATAATTCTCCATACTGTTTTCTGTACATTTACTAGGGTGCCGGCAAGGAGAATTTGTTTAACAATCAAGACCTTCTATAATTGGTGATCATTTCCTTCATTTTCATGACCTCAATGTTTGATTCAGAGGTGATATTCGTTTCTTCGCCTACATTTTGGAGAAACGCGTGTCTTGCAACACTTATAATGAAGGCCTGCAGTCAAATTTCTTGGCTCGATATCAGGGTTTCCCCCCCCCCCCCCCCTTCTCCTTCTCCTTCTCCCATCCCCTCCGCACTCGTCGCTTTTTTTGCTCCCTTTCGCCCCATGCCCTCGCATGGCTCATGCCTCTGCCGCTTGAATGAAAGGAACGAAAAGATTTGTGTAAGCTCTGCTCAAGCTTGTCGGTCCGATAACCATTTTGACTTAAAAAAAAACTCTTAAATTTACGAACACAGGGATAACAAATTACCAATTTAGACTTGTGTTTTAACATATGACTGATGTATAGAATGAAAGAGAGAGAACTGAGAAATATGTTTGATTGACTGTGTTATTTACAAGTATGCTTTCCCTATGTTTACCTCCCAAGGTTCTGAGCAGGACTTAGCTTTAACGAGAAAGCTTCTGAAAACGAAAGGTGATATGAGTGGGAAAGGTGAGTATTGCTGCATAGCACAGTTTGAACGCCTTGTATCTTGGGACAACGGATGACGGTGTTGAGGAATTTCCGAAGTAATAGGAAGTTTCTTCGAAATAACCCGTGATCCGGTTCGTCTTTTAAGTTGTTATGTAACTATTTGAGGACTAAATGCTGCTTTACAGCTTAAATCTCCATGGAAATTCTCGTCTCTTCTTAAAATTCCGCGTGGGGTGATAACCATATACATGTAATCCCAGTAAAATTTGTTCAATTCTTTGTTAAATTTGGATCAATGTCAGTGTCGGGGGACTGCGAACCTACCCTTCCCCTGACCCACTTGTTGTCCGTTGTTAGTTGTTAGCGTAGGGGGAAGGTAGGTACGCAGTTGCTCAGACACTGATCGGGAAATTTTGGTTCCAACTAACGTGATAACCGTGAAATATAAGTCGGGGTGAGAAGTGCGAAGTGTGTTGTTTGATATTGAAGGCGCTGCTTCACGACTTGTTTGCCCTTTTTTGCGATGTGTAAGGATTGCCTTGGAATGAAAAACGTTGATAAGTAGTACAATGAGGAAGACGAGGAACAAAGATGGAAGAAACAAGGCACCGGAAGGCCGATGGAGAAGATTATCATAGACTACCCCGAGAGCGCTTTTCGAGTAATCGCAACGGCCGATCAGAGGAAAGGAAAGTACTCTTTAGAGCCAGTGAGATCTCAAAGTAAAAGCAGCCAAACTGCCTAAAGCGCGGGAAAACGCGGGTGACTAAGTCGTGATTGTCTTAGTTTTGTATCTGATTGGTTGAGAAAGCGGAGCGAGTTTTCTGGGCCAATCATGAAGCGAAGTAAAGTTAATACAGTGCAATCGCGGATTACTTTCGACGCTCAATTGCAAACTGCACTTATGACGAATCAGGTCCATTTTGTGTCATGTTGTTTGTTGGTTTTTTTCTCAACGTGCATTGTCATACAACACAAGTTGAAGCAGTTTCTTTAATTTAAAGTACGCCTACTTCAAAGACTGAGAAGTTTTGCCTTCTGTTTGTTTTAAAAGCTGTACGAGTGGCAAATGCTATGCAAGAGGAGGTAACCGCCAAGCGTGGAGAACTTGACGCTATGCAAAACAAGTTAGTTATCCGCAGTGTGATTCTATTTAACATTCTATTTTTTCTCTGGTTAGTTCGACTAAAAAAACACAATCAAATCTACTGTTTTTCTTCTTGTTTTGTAGAATTCACTGGTTAACAGAAAGTCTCAATAACGTCTCCAAGGTAAATTGCACTTTGCTTGTGTATCACGATGTAGAGCCGGGTCCTAACCTTTTACACTAATATCAGTATACATATTCTTACTGTCCTCTATACATTTCCCAAGCGGCTGACAAGGAGAATTTGTTTAACAATCAAGAGATTTTTTAGTTGATAATCATTTCCTACATTCTTGTGACCTTAATGTGTGATGCGGGGGTGATACTGTGAGGAGAAATTATTTGCTAGTCAGTCTTACGGGCCAAAGGTTAACCCCCCGCATAAAATTATGCAGCATGCTCAAAAAATTTAAAAAATTAGGGCAACCTGTCTTGGGTTTCTCTGAAATCCGCAGAGCGAGTTTTCGAAAATTTGATCCGTTAAAATGTTCGTGATCTAGTCAAAGCTCCTTTATCTTGCTACCTCTCAGCTACCCATACATTCATCGTTTTGGCCTCTGTCCTTCTTCTGAATGACTCTACGTTTTCAACATTGAGAAGAAAATCATCATTCAAATAGCGTTTCAATTTGCCTTTCAACCGGTTTAAATTTACATTATGTCCAAACAGAAAGCGCCACTCTTTTAAATGATTGCAGTCCGCCTTTTCGATACAAGTCGATACGATACAACTTCAGTTATTTCGATACCAACCAGTGAAGGTGTAATTGGATATTTTCAACAGTCTGCCAGTCCAATAAAAGGAGTTTAAGATGTTAAGACGGCACTGAATTTTTCGGAGATATACCTTGCTGCGAGAAGAGATTGGCGTAGGACTTCACTAGTTTGTATCGAAATGACGATCTACGTTTATTCAATGCCGACTTTATCAATTAATCGAATCGACTTCAGTTTGTATTGAATCAACCTGTATCGAAACGACCGTAAATCAAATGCTTTTGTGGTATTCGTTTGGTTTTTAGGACGCGCGTTATTATGAAAGGAAAAGCAGTGAATTATCAGAAACGTCAGAAAAACTGGCAGGTCGCCGAGACCAGTTGGAATTCGAGCTGCGGAAGGTCCGAGAACAGAAAGATGAGTATAAAAAACAAGTCAACCACATGGAGCAGGCCCTTGAAAAGGTATTAATTGTCAACGACTGTTTTTTAAAGGTATTAATTGTATTAATTAATTATTAATTGAATAACGATGAGGATTAAGGCAAACTGACAAAGCTAAATACGAAGGAAGTTCATGTTTGAGTTTGTGTTTATTTCAGTGCAAAATAGGAATCGTTTATAGCCTAATTCGGTGCCCCTCAAATTGTAGGGAAAATAACGGTGGGGTTCTATCCCCTCCATCCCAGAAATCGCTCATCCGCTGAGGAGGCAATACGTTTTTCAGTAATCGAGTCTCTTATTCCTAATGTACATCGTCATACCTCCCTCATAGGCAGCTCTCAAGCATGCAGACTCGCAGGGTATCATCGAGAAGATGGAACAAGAGATGGCAAGACTTAAACTGAAGCACTCACTTGAGATAAAGGTATACCATCATCGTGCACAACACCAGAGTATGACATGTCCGTTTGCACTGTTGGGTATGTAGAAGTAACTTTACATTATCTACAATTTCGATGTTGTCTTCTAGGAACTTGAGCGGACATCCAAGGCACCCATGACTGTCAGACCAGAAGCTGCAACGCTAGTTGAACTGTTGACAAAACTAAACACTGGTTTTAGGTGAATATTTCAATTATTTTTTTCTACTGCCTGATTACTACATGCCTATTAGTCCATTTTCGAGATGATTTTTGGAAGTAAGTAAGCTTTCTAATGACACAAATACCCCAAAACTCATGTTAAGGTCATCCTGCACCGCTAGACACGGTGAACAATTCTTCTTACACTTCCTACGGTGCAACTTTTCGAATTCACCATTCTTTAACCCTTTATACCCTAACATCAGTATGCACATTCTTCTTACTCTTCTGTACAAATTTGAAAAAGTGAAAAATATAGTTCGCGAAATAAAATTTCGACAAAAGTGGCCATTTGGTGACAAACAGGTTTAAAAAAAATGACCAAATGTTTATTTTGGCAACCATTTTACGGTTGAAGGTCGCCAAAAGGCCACTTTTTGAAAAATTAATCTTGAAGCGCTGCTCCTTGGTGGAGAGAAAATTCTACTCCTCAATTTATTTTGTTAATTTCTATTTGCCTACTGAAGGTGGCCCCCGCTAACCACTCCAGCAAATTACACCAATGTTCTCTTAACTCAGAAGACTGGTATTCCTCAGCATTTCCCAACACCTCTACCGCTTTCCCAGGGCTCTCAGTCTGAAGTGGCAGAATCGGAGAATGGACAGCTGATGCAAAGTGGGCCCTCTCGAGAGGTTAAGCGAAAGTTCTTTACTTTGTACTTTGTTTGTTGTGAGACTTGTGACGTAAGATTAAAATATGATAGTTTCTTGAGCCATTCGAATTCATATTTGCATCCGTAGACAAGTGAAGCCTCGTCGAAGAAAAACGATGAAGTTACAGATGACCTGAAAACGTTACTACATGAAGTGCGGAGCTTGATCTCAAGTTTCCAAGCGCACGTCACCCAAACTGCGACTCCAGCCAAGACTCCGAATGCTCCGTCTGCGTCACAGGGTTCTCTTGCTGAGCGAGCGCTGTTGGACGACTGCCCCGTGCGTCCTGACGAACCATATGTGGGAAAAAGTGAGCAGCAGCGTGCTGTCGGCGAGACAACCTCTGACAAGAAAAATTCTGGTCCTTCAAGTGAGGATGAAAAGCAAGGCCAAACAAGAAACGGTGACAGGAAAGTTCGTGGCGCAACCCAGAAGGGGCATCTTCGTTCTAAGCCCTTTATTTCCCGAAGGCACAGGCAGGAAATCAACAGAGAAGAAGGTTCATCTGTATCAACAGATCCGAATTCGAAAGTCAGCAGCAGATGCGATTTCGACGAGGTCAGCGACGATGTCAACGACTTTGCAATTCCGCTGCACAGTTCGTCTCCAAAGAGGGTTGATACTGCATCCAGTGATGCAGTCAGCGAACGTTCACAAACATTTGACAGGCCCCTTTCATTGTCGTCGTCGTCGATTCACAGTGACCACTCAGATGTCACCTCTCTTTTAATGGACCGATCAACTTCCACTGTGGACACTGTTATCTCACGTGACATCCTGAACGCGGCTCGTTATTGGAAGCCAAAGTCGAGCGCATTGTCAGTTACAAGTAATCAGTCAACTTCAAATGAAATGTCTGGTTTGGCGCCGTTACCAAACGGCAAGTCGCGCTATTTGCCCTTAAGCGAAAACGAAGGAAGACGAAATCTTGATTCAGAGTCTGCCCGACGTAAGTATGAGCCCCAAAAACGAGGAGATTTCATTTCAAGGAAAGAGAGTGACAGAATCATAACAGCAGGTGATATGCTTGTTGGTATATTTAGTCTTAATATGTGGCGATCTATAAAAGCCTACTTAGACCCGTTTATACTGAATCTTGACTTGTCTATGTTTGCGCGTCGAAGTGATGCTACCTTGCTTTTCATGAAAGAGCAGACAATGGCTGGAACAAATCGATGTAAAATTACATGGTTTACATACCACATGGCACAAATTAGCATGCTTGTAATTCGAGAGTAAGTTCTAGTTTGAATGACCTATTTTTGTCGCTTACTAAATTGCTACTCCACCTCGTCCTGGTTTGCGAAAATCTGACAGCACCAAACCTCAACAGTCCTCTTTTCGCACTATTTTCTCCATTTTTGTTTGTTTGATTTTGCTTCCATTTCTTTCTTTCTTTCTTTGTTTTCTTTGTTCTCTACATTATTTTCAACGAACTTTGCAGCTGAAGAACCTGCGAGGAAAAAGTCATCAGATGGTGAACCTGTGTACAGTCGTGCCGAGATGATCTTGAGATCGCTTGCACAAACTGGGGAGCAACTTACCAAGAAAAACAGAGGTCAGTTGTAATATAAATGACTTCATAAAACACTCATCATTCGAAAATATGTTGGGTTAAAATTTTCCGAACGTTAATTCTTCTTAACTTTCCTGGAGGAAACATAACAAGAGTGAACCGTATCATTCATTATGACCCATTGTTCGTAAAACGTGAAAGTGATAGAAACAACAAACAGAGAAAAATCTCTGTTAGTTATCAGTATGGTAGCTTTAACTTTGTAATTCGTAATCGGCTCATTTCAGCCGTCGGGATGCAGGACAGAAACTTTTCCACCAATTTTCCAACGTCGCGCCCATTACCGTTTGTTTGATTGTTGGTCTTTACTTTTTCTCTGTGAAGTTTATTAACGTTGAGCACCTTCATGTGACGTGTGAATGTGCTTGGATGTTTGTCCATGGAGAGAGTAGGTCGTCATTATTAGCGCTGCGGCACGATTGCTTCCTCGTTTGCTGGAAATTATGAGGCCTTGAGCTCCGCAAACCATTGCCCTTTACAGAACGTTTACAAACACCGCACTGTCGCAAGAGTATGTTGACTTTTTAAAGTGACTAATAGGAACAAACCAACATGCTTCTCCTTTAACAGTAGCGAAAAGTGTCCTTGGCTTTGAGCAACTTTTACAGAAAGACTTCATATCAAACGCAATTTCTTTAAAATCGGGGAATGTCAGCGCATATTCCTCTGCTTCAGCAAGGGGCCTGTTTGGTCTCATTGTAGTTTTGAACCAATGGCGTGCCTGAGAAAATACTTTAATGATGTGTCAAATTTTACTACTTTGATAGATTAATCTTCCTTTTGCGTTCTTAGAGATCGAACACTTGTTGAAGGAACAAGACAGACGAATAAAAAAGTGCCGGAAAAACGAGGACCACATGCATGCGCTTCTGTCTTGAGTACAGTACCATGATCATGAAAACTCGGTTATCTATCTCTATAGCTACGGTTGTATGCATTGTGGTTAAGACTAAGATGATATGCAATTTCCGTGTGAAAAGAAATGTATACTTTGCGTATCTTTTTAAGAGAAAAAATAAGTACCTCATAATAAGAACATTGGCGGCCTCCCCTTGTAGTTCATTCCCTTTTCTCTCTCTTTTTTTTCTTTCCTTCCAAATTATTTGTTCTTCACCATTTTCGCTGCAACCCATTGCAGACATCCTTTTGCTATTAAATATCTTCTTTTGCCGTTCAGCAAAACTTCGTTAATGGAAAATAGGTAAAGAGCTTGCCTAAATCAATTTTCTAGACTTGTCAGGAACTTTTTCTTTTCACCGTGCTAAATATTTTTTTTTTTTTATAACAATCAATATACTATATCGAAGTTAGCTGTGTAATCTATGTACTCGCACACTAACCGGACAAAACCACGAACTGCAGCCGAATTGCCGGTGATAACCATGTATTTTAGAAGAAACGAATCTCTGAGGAATGTGTGATATAAACGACAGATATTAGATAGGAAGTGACTGATTATTATCTTGAGAAGCGTTCAGCAACCTTACCATATGTAATTTACCGCTGTTTCTAACTTATGTAATTTAATATTGAAATATAAACACGCGTGGGATTCTTGATTTATTACTTTGGACCATTTCAAGCGACCACTTACTTCTATGGAGTGCGCTATACCCGTCCACTGTTATTCGTTCACGGCACAAGGCGTAAGGTCCATGTTGAAAAGTAAATATGAAACGATAAATGCCAATTGAAAGTGTCTCGCCTCCTGTTTTCAGTGGGTGCCTTTCACTCTCCCTCTATTCAAAATTTGATCAGTGGATAAAGATAACAAACATATTAAAAAAATTACATTGTGCTTGAAGTGTTTTTTTTTTTGGTTTTTTTTTTTCATTAAAAATCTTGCATTAAAACCTGCGTAGTGAGATAAACTCGAGGATTAAACTTACCAATAGTAAAAAAACTCAAATGATGTATGAGGGCGTGATAACTAGCCCTTTTTGCGTCGACTGGATAGGGAAGGAGAGCTAATTGCGCAAGACAAGTTGCCCACTTTTGTCCGAATCGGAGAGGGCTCTATCTCCTAAAATTAGGATAATAAGATGGGGTGGGGTGGGGGAAGTGCATAGGGTGGAGGTGTATCGATCTTGGAAGGTGCTTCTACCCTTCGCATTTAAAGAATTTAACAAAGCTGACGACTACTGCAACAGCAATCTAAACAGAACTATGCCAGCGATGGCTAAGCTTTCTTCTTTATTAACATGTTATTTCATCCATTTTTTATTACTAAATAGCACCAAACTCTTTTGTTGATGCGGACGACTTAATTATACTTTTGTGATCCGAGCGAGAACTACAAAATTGCCCATACTGAAAAAAATTAATAACAAAACTAAGTGGATGATTTTCTAACGATCCACACTGATTCCAAAAGATCAAGTAAAATATCAGTTTGTAGAAAGTTCACTTTAGTAATGTGAGCATTTCATCTTAGTGAAATAAAGCTGTGATTTTCTTCGATTAGTTAATGTTTTTCATTAAATATTTAATTTGAAATTAAAAATGGTTCGCTATTAATTATGGGAAGAATATTTATTCAAACTTACAACCTTAACTGTGTTCAGAAGTTTCTTTTAAGTTCTCAACGAGTGTAATCCAAGAGGGGCTTTCTTTCTTCCTTTTTGGACCAATGAGCACTGCCATGCCAATAACAACATCTAGCAGCTTGCTCCAAAAGGAAAAACAAAACCCGGACGAGTTGGGAGAGAATGGCACCAATGACCAAAACAGACAGTGTAACCGGCACAGCCGCCAGCGCGCCAACCTCAAACCACTCCATGGTTTCCAGATAATATTTGTAAGGCCCGGTGATTGTGATGCCAAATGATATCAGGGTTGCCTTAGTAAGATTGATTATGGAAATTACTATCAAAGCAGTAAGGGACAACGTCTCGGCTCCGTTGGCCATTGGATCTCGAAATGGATTCTTTGATACATGGTGGAGCGCTATCAGAGTGCAAGCTGTAGCCATGGCGATCATTCGCAGCATTGGGCTTGTTATAAACGAGTGACAAGCTAGTAGAATGAATCTTCGGCCAATCAGCACGCTCTCCCAGTAGAGTGTCCCTTTATCGTCGCTCTTAGGTGGACGGAAAGGACCATGAAGTACTTCCATGACATCTTTGTTAACAACTTTTGCTTCAAGAGACTCATTCCTAGGTTGTTTCTGGGCTTTCTTACGAAGCCAATAGACAAGAAATGGCAATGGAAGCACGCACGCAGCAAGAAATTCAGTCGCCGTTATTGAAGCCTTGTAAAGCTTGGATGATCCGAAGTAAAGAACAATAATGAAGGGGACAATAAACACCGCAATGCAGGCGAGAACGAGATACTGCCACCACTGCATGCATGTAACATTTGCATCGATAAAAAGCCGCATTTCAGATCCGATTGAGACACAGGTCATCAGTTTGAGGCAAGTTTCAGCCAGTCTTTCGTAACCTAACAGCAACACTTCTATGATGACGGCCATGTAATGGAAGAGGGATGGCTTCTGGTTGCGCGTTATCACGTTGATAACACAATGGACGAAATAAATGAGAGCGATGTCAGCCATTGTCAAGAAAACGGTACCAGAAAGAACCAATTGCTTTGTCACAGATGTTAGCCCAGCAAAAGGGCAGCCCAAACCTTCATTGAGGGTGCGTAGTTTAAAGTTGAACGCGGCGGTAACCGCATACATGTATGGCACCTTTTTCAGAAGGCGTTCTTTGCATCCAACAATCAAAAGTTCAGCAGCTTGATAGAAATAAAAAGTTATTTTTATGTAGGCGTTATCTGTGTGGGGATCGTGTTGATGTGACGCGCTGTCGTCCCGTTGGCTTTCTTTCTTTCTAAACCAAATAATCTGATTGACGAGAAAGCTTAGAGTAGGGGGTTTTCTTAATAGGTATAACGATAACATAATCGTTAATAAGAATGTCAATACCCAGAACCAATAGTTGTCACATTCTTCATCCTTTCGACACTCTGGTGAGAACACAGTTACACTGTATCCTGGAATGCATTCACCACACAGAATTCCTCTTCTGTTCCCTGAGCAACTGTTATAACCGTTTGCGCCTGGGCCTGGACTTCGACAATAATGCTCTGGACAGGCAGTGAACGTCAGTGATGGTGGGTCAGATGAACCATTTAGATGGCCCCAAAAGTTTGGTTTGGCTACTATATTTCTTTCGACACAATTGGCACCGAACGGGCATCGCTGACATTTTACTGTTCTGTTCAATATCAGTCCTCGAGAGGTTGCACGTGAAATGCTGTAAAAACCTGTAGGGCAGCGCAGGCAAGAGTACTTCAGAACTGTAACATTTATTCGACAAAAGCTACCATTGTATTCAGAGTGAGCAAAATGCGAAGAATTGTCCATCAAAAGGCTGCAACCAGGGGGGCACTGAATGATCGAGTTATTATCCATGTGAACGGAACCCAGACTAGAGATGCCAAACACGGGATACACATCTTTTTCTATTATAAAAGAGTTCAACGTTGTATTTTTGAGACGAACTGGTCCTCCACTAACTGAATGCACGAAGGCTGACTTTCGAAACGTCGTACCGTTAAATTTCACGTTTTTTACTGTCGAGCTGAATACACAGTCTAGAAAATCTGCTTTTCCAGTTCCATCGGATAAGTAAACATGTCCAGAATGTTCAGAAGCAAAATTATTCTTAAAGCGACATCTTTTGAACGTTGTGTGACCATTACAGAGGTAAACACCACCCGCAATTACCCCACCATTACCGTCAAATGACGTATCTTCGAACTCTACACGAGTCTGGTATTCCCAGAGACGATGAGTATCGTTGAAGTCGTTCACGTCGACACATCCTGGACTCAGCCTTTTATCCGAAATTGAGGCGACTGAAATAGCGCCAGCTGATAAATCATAAACACGGTAGGCACTACTGAAATTTTTCCAACACCATGGATTTAAACAGCGGCAATTGCGGAATTGAGACCTTCTGATACGAATGGTCTTGTTACCTGGAAACAGAAAAGCTAAGAAGTTACATGGCTTCAAAGCAAATGTTACGTTGTCCATCTCGATGGTCGTGTTTGCAGAAGGGATTTCTTTTAAAGGGTTTATAAAGAATCGAAGGCCATATGAACGAGGAAACACCTCCCTGGTGACGAAAATCGTGTTCGTGATAATTAGTTCCACCTTAGTTGGATCAGGTGAAGTGGCCAAAATATCACGGACATTATTGTGAAAGGTACAGTTCTTGATTGACATAGAAAATGGATAACGACCCCATGATACTTTTGAAAACGAGACCTCATTTGACGCATTGATGTTGAGTGCTCTTTTATAGAGTTTGATAGCAACGTTGAACAGCTCGATACGAAAGTGTGAGTTTATCCACAAGGCTTGCCATGACAGATTTGTGCCACTGACCATGACGGTGTGAGCAATCAGAAAATTTCCTGCGAATCGGCTCCTACTTGCATGTACTGTAACATCACTTTCACTGGCATTGTTTTGGACAAATGTACATCCGGAGATATGGATATCAGTGTTTCCACCAGTGTTAAGTATCTTTATTGAACGTGTCACAAATTGGCTGTTGTTTCTCCAAGAGGAATCTTTTACAACAACCTTGCCATCGGATAACTCGAGCCTAACACTGTCGCATCCGTTATGTAACCCATAGCAATGATGTACCCTGACCTCGTGGAAAATTGCTTGTAACATGATAGAGCCGAGTTTGGTTTTGTTCGTTCCTTTGATTTGGTCTGCAACGAGTATTGCACATCCATAACTTGCAGCGGCGCATTTAGTGAAGTTAACCTTAGTAATGTTCAGATTCAAGGTTCCACGCTGACTATAAGCAAACAAAGCCCCACCGCCTCTAGCTTTAATTCCTCGAAAACTACAGTTGAAAAGGAATACAGACCCATTTCCTGTTGAATTGAACAACATTGCTCCCCCATTATGGTTTGTAAGTTGCATCTCTTCAAATGAAGAATTTAACACTTCAACTTTCGCTTCTTCAGACTGAATTGTAATACATCGCAGTAAGTGGTTTGAGGAACATCTGAGGTTACTGAACTTTGCGCAAGTTTTCTTTGCAACAGAGTTGTACAGACTGTTGTGGTCAAGAGACAATTCAGCAAAGAAATTGTTGGACAGCATGACATTATCGTAGATCTCTTCAGTCTTGGCTGTTGGGAGATCAAGATGTATGAAATGACCGTAATTTTTGAATGCTTTAATATGGAAACAAGATACTCTGACGAGCAAACTTAGTGGATGCGCGGCTTCAGATTTGGCTGTGATTAAACCACCGATAGAGTAATGTTTGCCGTTTTCCGAGAAAATTGCTTCTTTCACCTCCATCACTAGATACTGATCACTTAAAGTTTCTCTGTTTTGCCAAGATATTTTCAAGCAGAAAGTGTTGTTCTTGAAGAAAACAGACCCAGCAATGTTGATATGCATTCTTGTGTTATGTATTACGTAAACGCTCAGAGCTATGAACGAGTCTCGGAAAGAACAATTGGAGATCGTTAAGGCGTGACAATCCCAAAATGTTAGAGGTGTTCCAACGAAAACAATGTCCGATAGGACAATACTTAGAGGATTAGTCACATGCTTCGTAAGAAAGCGAAAACCTTCAGTACATGATACGTATGGCGTGGAATGTAAACCTACTATGTGCAAACTTTTCTCAACGACAATTCCTTTCTGCTGGTCATGTATTGCCGAAGACTCGCAGTCATAAGGCCGTTCTTCAGTTCCAATTCCATTTAGGTAGATATGTCCATTCCAGTCCATCTGGTAAACTGCCATAGCAATGGATCTGCATGGATTACGGACTGTACCGCAGCTTTCAGAGTCGCAACCGTCCAGTGAAACATAGACATCAGTATGTCCGCCGTGTTGCGAAGCTAAAGGAGAATAGTGAAAAATCAAATTTGTTGGTCACGACTATGGTTCCCTACGAAACTTCTTCACTTTTTCTGTTTGATCTTCTTTTGTTTTGTGTTGAATTTGTGTGAGTTTTTTTGTTGTTGTCACAGACTCCTATTATGATTAATTTTCGGTCGGAATCGGTGATTAGTATTACCAGGGGGGTAAGAGGATTTTTGTTTTGCACTGATAGGATTTACCCGATCCCTCCATAAGGTTCAGTAAGGTTCTTATGATCCTTTCTCGATGCCAATTTCCTATAGTCACCTCTTTCTAAATTATACCGTGTTAACGACTACTGGTACCCTATCCGTCCCCCCTGAAACCATGCGATCCTCCCCCAAAGTCCGCCACACACACCTCCCCTCCTCAGCGATAACTAATGACCCGCCTTTGTTACATGTAATAGAAGTCATACCCGTAAACTCAAATGCTTTTGAGCTCCCTTCCTCAAAGCTTCTTGAGCTTTATTACGGACATCTTGTGTCTGATTAGCTTCTAGCTTTTGAGATAACTCACGGCGGAAAATTGTCTCAATTTCTTGCCAGGCTTCCCGTTAGCTCGTAGCGCTCGCGGCTTCGCTGTTTTCATGCCGTATCGCCTTTTGACGAAAGCTTTCTCGCAGGCTAATTAGCTTCTTCTGTGGATCTTAATGCATTCACACCAAAATTCCACTCAATTTAATACCTCACGAGTAAGATCTGCCAACATGATAATTCTTTAGTTAGAATGATATGGATGTTCCGTGAAGCTATGCTTGTGCTGTCTACACGAAACGCCATGATTTTTGGTTTTAAATTTCCTTGTTGGTAATTTCGTTTGCCAAAAAAGTCATTTTCAGCCTTTAAGACACTTCCTATTCAAGCTTGAACTGAATTGGATCATAAAGCAAAAGGAAAGAATTGATTTGATTTGTCTCAAATCGTACTTGCGATGATTTGTGAACCAAAACCTAAACAAGGTTATAATACAAAAAACACGCTTCAAATCCATTTTATTCGAAACTAATGTATGACTGAGGCAGCACTAAAGTCCTTTTTCGTTTCGCACGCGTTAGCTTCAGTAAAGAAAATCGAAAGAACTAATTGGATTTCTCAATGATATGTTCTCATCGTCCACAAACACCAATGTTTGATAGACTCAATAACAAAGTAACATCCACGTTGAAATGGAAACTTAATTTAAGCTTTGCTTCAGTTTAATCTATCGAACAAATTTGAAGTGTTATTTCGGTTTCACAGTGTACATTATGATAATTTTTGTAGAATTTGATGAGCGAAGTAAACAGCATCATAACATACTACAGTTATAGCTGTTTTTCAGTTGGCTGTTTGTAAATATCGCTTAGTTTTTTTTTTCGGCAGTGAAATTATTAGGTCCCATTTGGGGCCGATAAGAAAAGCGGTGTATGAAGGCGGTGTATTTTTCGAAGACTCTGAAAGAAAGCGAATTTAAAAGCTTCCGTTGTTTTTCGCCGTTTAATACCGACTTTGACAAACTCCTTCCATCACTGCGTCCTGTTAATGATTAGAAAACCCTTAAATGTATCGATGTAAGTCATTCCTTTAAAGAAAAATCGTTCATTGAGCCGACAAAATTCCAACAATGAAATTGATCGTCCCCGATAACAAGCACTTCTCTGTGATCATTCAAACCTCACGAGGTTTGTCGCGAAACGTTTGCCGCAAAGCGATCAGAAATCAAATCGCCTATTCGATCCCAGCTTTGCTAACCGCTCAATGATTTAACACAACCTATATAGAATACTATTCCTACTCACTCTTACTCTAAATCGATTACCGTCAACGTATTTTTTTAACTCTCGTTATAACTACCTGATTCGTTGATTGAAGATGATAAGTAGAGTAAAGCTGCTGTTAAAACCCGCCAGAGTGCCATTAAAAATCGCCTCCGAAATCAAGATGTAATGAAGAGAGGCCAAATGATGTCTTCTGTTCACTCAGTTCACAAGTTCGTACTCTTCGTGATGGGGATTTTGAGTAGATAGGCGTGCTTGTAATTCAACGCCATGGGACGAAACCAAAGTTATTTCCTGGGAAACCGAAAATAATCCTTCTATGTGTAAAAAGAGACTATTTATAGTTATTAATCTATTTGAGCGAAAGCTTCAAACACATTACATAAGGTCTAACTTTTGAGCAAAATCAATTAAAAATGAATGCGCAAATTAACCCTTGTAATTCTTGTAGCTGAATTTTCGGCTTCATGTGCCAGTCTAATGCTGGCCTCGTCAAATTAATATAAAAGTTAATCAATCTTTGAGTTTATCGAAAGGGTATAAACTATACTCAACTTGTGCACCCGGCGAACACGAGGGAGTGTGCTAGTTATTCCAAATGTTCGCTCGATTGCGGGAGGCGTGATTACCCGCGGACTCGCGGGATTAAGGCGAATAAAGATCATTGGACGTGATGCCATATTTAAGGAAACCGTGCACAGAGGTTCGGGAAATTAGATTTTACACTTCTTATTTTTAGGAGCAAAAGTGTATGAATGATTGCACACAGACGATTTCCACTCAGCATGTGATTTTTCTTTCTTTTATCACCTATAGACGTCTTTTCGAGATTATCTGTTATGGGTAATTGTTGTTTCCAGGACATTTCATCGAGTCACATATTGATTATGTAATACTACTCAAATAGTTCTTGTGTAAACTTCTGGAATGTTCCAGAACACTTTGTAAATAAATATAAAGACTCACTGATGTAGTAGTAGGAGTAGTTGTTGTTGTCGGAGTGACGAAATGTTTTGAACGCTATACCGAGAGAGAGTTACTGCGGAAGATTGCTCATTTCAAGGAGACAGTAGTTCAAATAATAACTAAATTTCCCTCGAGGTTTCATCGCTAAGAGGACCTAAAAGTTTGAGTTTTAACGTTTTAATTCTGTTGGGGACGACTATAAAATGTACAAAGTGTTAAAGATCGGGTTACCTCACCTTGAGGCGTTTACATGGTAAATTGTCACCCCAGCTGACCGGGTTGCCCTACTTAGCAAACCGGGCAACCTGCCTTGGCGGATCACCCCGCCTATCATAAAAACGTGATTAAGATGAGAGTTTATACGGAAAGGCGGGTTATCTCACCTACTTGGGGTCCCCAACCTCCATGTAAACAGGCCCTAAATGAAATTTTCAGTAGTTATTAAATGTTGGACGTAATACATGAAAAATGCTCAAAAATAAAATAATCTAATTTAGCAGCAGTGTCTCTCTTTGGAGGTTCAAAAATGTAATCTTACTTCAACCTTAGCTTTGAAGTAAATTGACCATGAGCGTCTACACTGAATATAACCCCATATTCTGCCTACCATCGCTGTAGAGTTTCTCTGCTTAATTTTGGCGTATTATTGACCCTTTAATTCCCAAGATCTCAATAGTAATTCTCCTTACTGTCTCCCATACAGTTCTTGTGATGTTAGTTTGGAGAATTTGGTATTGGATCAACTTATAATCCCCAAACTGATATTTTTCTTCATTTTCATCACTTGTCTGCTTGATATTGTATTGATGTTGTTAGGAGAAATTCTGTCCTGGTCACTCATCAGAGTTAGAGAGTTAATGACGGTGCAATCTCCCCACTTCACATCGTAGAATGTACATAATTAGAAACCAATAACCCAACTTTTTCAGTGTTTTAATGAATAAGTTTTTTTATTATTTTAAGCACGTTTTCATGAAACTCGACTATAAAATACGTACCGAGTATATATTTCAATGTTAATTTTGCTTTTCGCAAGAGTAAGCCTTCCGCAAATTAACGCTAACTTTCTTCCAAATACACGATGGTAGGTGATACAATGATTGGCATTATCCAGTAATTTATACGTTACAAAAAAAAACTCCATGTAACAGTTAATTAATGGGGGCATCTATCCTATGTGTGACATTGTAATTTGAACTAAAACAACGATAAAACAAATGGTTACATCCAGCCGTACTTTACAAACAATTGTTTGCATCAATTAGCAAGTTTTCCGGGTCCAAAAACAAAAACAACTTGCCGAATTACTCGAGCCTATTTTCTTTAAAAGTTGGAATTTTTTAAAATATGTATATATGCAAAAGAAATGCATAGAATTTAAAAAATGGGGGGGGGGGGGGAAGAGAGCTGAGTCTATGACAGAGGGCCTTAAAAAATATCTGAAGTAAAAGTTGATACATATGAGAAAAATTTTTAGTAGGGGTTTTAAATCAACACACTCTATGAGGGTTGAAAAATATCTCGTCACATTTCCGATTAATTAGACGAAAAACTTATAATTTGCCATTGAAGTATTTTATAAACATAGCAAATGGAATAATTAAGATTATTTTGCTATCCGAAAGAGTAGAGGCTAGGTTGACAAATGAGGTATTACACACCCCATGAGATTTACAAAAATTACTCCAACTGGCTCGAAACTCGACACAGGTATGGAGTGACACACTGTCCTACTTTTGAATAGTCGTACAACTTCACCGACCGTTAAAGCTGTGAGAATAGCTAAAGCCAAACTAAGGCTTTTATGAGAACTCGAAACCGTAATATTTAGATCTCTATTGGCAGCCCATTTGAAAACATTTTTTTCTACCAGTATACTTATGAGATAAAGGTATACTTGTTCTTTGGCCTAAACCGAATCTCTTTGCTTTTGTACTGAAGGTGAATTTATTTCACACCTGTAACGGAGTTTTTCGGACCCTTAACTTTTCTATTTTGATCCTCGCATAGAGAAAATAAAAACGTTTGCCGTAAAAGTTGGAAAGAAATTACCTTGAAACTTGTAACAATCATTTCTCCGAAGTTTTTTGATAAAACTTGGAAAAAAACGTTTTGAAGTTCTCACTCAGCAGCATCCAAGAGGGGCCTTGTCTGTTCGTCGCTGGAGCAATGAGTGTTGCCAGACCGATGACAAAGTCTGCCAGCTTGCTCGAAAAGAAATAACAAAACGCGGAGGAGTTGAGAGAGAATGGCACTAATGACCAAAACGGACACTAATACCGGTACAATCCCCAGTACACCAACCTCGAACCATTCCATAACATCAAGAACACTTCCGTAAGGCCCGATGATCGTGATACCAAATGATATCAGGGTTGCTTTGGTAAGATTAATTATGGAAATAATTAACAAAGCAGTAAGGGACAATGTCTCGACTCTGTTAGCTATCGCATTTCGAAATGGATACTTTAAGACATGGTGGAGTGCT